CAACGTTCTTTTCTTTATTTTTATATCGAACCTTGGGATCTCTTACTTATTTTTTTTTATTTTCTCGTTGCGTTCCGGCTATCGTAGTCCCAACGAAACCCTGGGCGTAACAATATATATAACGTTGTTGTTTAATGTTTATCACTATATATGTTGATTTTAATCCTAACATAATTTTCATAAGGTCAACATAAACAAAAACAGCCTGAAATAAGCAGAAAAACTTGAAATATGTTCCCAGGTACATAAAACCTTGATTAAGATTGGATTTTTAAAAAATAAATAGCAATGATATTCTCAAAACCAATATTCATCTTTTCCATTACAAAGTATTTCATATATTCTGTCAGTTATACTTATATTATTTCCTGGCTATAGACAATCCCTTTTTCTTGCAATCATTTTCAATACTAAAATCATTAATAGTACATTTACATTATAAATACAGAGGACTTTATTTATGGTAATCATGGATAATGTTATCTGATAGTTATTGTAATTCAGTCAAATCACAAACATATTATTTAAATTTAAAAATTATTTGCTTATTATAACAAAAGTTCTGAATATTTTTAATAATGTAATCGATGTAAAGCGTGTTAAAATTCAGATCTAAATAAAAGATATCTGAATAAAGACAAAAGGAAAACGTTTCTTTAACAACATGTTTCATTCCCTGAGGGACTTTATCATGGTAAATGTAATGATTTTATTTTGCAACATGTATTTATAAACAGAAGAAAAAATATTAATTTTCAGAATTTGAAATTTAAGAATACTCAAAAATATTCTTAAAGCTGTGTAACTAAAAGTAAACTATGGAGGACACTAAGTGATGTAATTTAATGCCTAATAAACAAAAGTGAGTAAATACTAAACATACTATTGAAATTTTGACATCCATTTGCTTCCTATATAACAAGTTACATCATTTTTGCCTGAAGCAGAATCTGAACTCAAATGTCTTATTTTTTTTTTTTTAAGAAATTGTGCAACTGTACATTTTTCAAGCCAATACATCCCCATGAGTAGATAGGCTGATCAGGGACATGAGGTTTTATCAAAACACCATTTCTAGATAAATTGCCAACCAAGACTAAAGAGTTTCTATCTGCCAATTAGTTGAAGTCTAGTACAAGCATAACTGTTGACAGCTTCTAAACAGTTCCATCTAGCCAGTTTCACTCACAAGGTTTGGGTCAACATGTGCTATGGTTTTCAGGTACTTTCCAACAGTGCAGCAAGCTGGAATTGTTTCCCCAGGGCAATATTATCAAGCAGTCATCACTTTGATTGATTGGTTTGCTTTTTATGGCTTATCAACCTTTTGCAGATTATTTATAGCTAAAAAATATTTTTAGATTGCGAAAGTGTTTTTGAGATGATAATGTATAATCACATTTTTGCTAATAAAAAAGCATTTGATGATGACAAAAGGCCCCACACTTGATAAAAACAAAGTTTTATCATCAAATTGTTTGTTATTATTAAGAGGAAAGACCAAAGTATTTTTTTATTATTTTATTAAACATTTTAATCCTTTTTAGCATGATCGAAATTTTGGTTAAAAATCTTGTTTTTTTTTTCCGTGAACAGTGGACCAAAGATTACTAGGGTATTTCAGCACCATTTTACTGGTAAAAAACACATTGATTTGAAAATTCTTGCAAAAATCAAAATAGTGGATTTTAATTAAACTTTCAGGACTTATTCACAAATTAATGAAATTATTTTTCAAATTTTTTTTTTTTTTTTAACGTCTGTTACCCCACCACTTATTTAATTTTATCAAATTTTGAGAAATTAAAATTTCAGCCTCTTGATATTTATATTAGTTAAAAGCAGAACTCCTTGGATAATTTTACAAATCATTTTGTTTTTGTTGAGCAGGAACACTATTTACTGAAGATGTGCTTTGAATTGTAAAATAAAAAATGCAATAAAACTATGATATTATTTAATTAAGAAAGCTTTTAATTTCTGTTATAAATAAGATATATTAAGAACACTATTGTCTTAATAAAATTTTTTCTTTTGATGAATAATGAATTTTTACAAGAATTGTTTTCATTTTTTAAAAATTTTAATTAGAAAAATTGATTAAATTTTAAATCTTTTAAAATCCTGTATTAATTTCAGCCATTTAGATCATATTATTATTAAGTTGAAACTACATTTATTAATCATAAATGGTGAAGCTTAAAACCTGTCATCGAACACCAAGATATTTAAAAGAATTTTGAATTTTTTTTATGTATACAAACGTGCCCATTTTTGAAAGTATGGGTGACCATATACAACATTACCAGAAAATAAGAGTGATGATTATAGTAAATTTGAAATCAACATTCCTAAAATTAGATTATGTAGAATATTTTCTGACACTTTTAAGGTTACTGAGTAATTAAAAATTATGTAAAAAAAGGCATTTACGTCATTATCTTAAATTATGTTTTACACATAAAGTCACCATAGAATAATAATAAACCCGTCATCACATTTTTGTCATTCGTCAGTACTTATCAAACATGTAAACATTGCTACTGTTGGTTAAAAACAGCTACCGTTTGTTTTAATAATGCATTTCTGTGTTGTCTGAAACTTAAAGTAAATAATATTTGTTTCAAATCAGATTAATTGTACTTTAAATCAGCTAATATTTCTGAAATAAAGTTTCAGAAAAGTATATTTTATTTTTGGAAATTTTTTTAATAAAGAGAATTACATTGTGATGAAAGACAATTGAAAAAAAGGTGCTAATCAGCTATTTTAACAAAAAAAAAAAAATTAAATAAAATCAATTCCAATCAATATAATTTCTGTTTGAAATAGATCAGAGTATTTTGCTTATTGGAATAGAAGGAGTAAATTTAAACCTTTGGCTTTCAGTTAAAGCTAAAACAAAAGCTTTTTCATTTTTAAAAAATTAATTTCAAACTGTAGGTATCATAAATTATTGGAGGTTCCTATAATAATGATTCACTGATACAAGTTCTACTAATTAACCCATGGCTGGGGGAGAAGAGGTGGATTTATACCTTTCCTAAGGGTATTTGCGCATAAGTGAATATAACAAGCCCAACTGGATTTGGAACTCAAGTCTCTGATTTCCAGTTCTAAGCCGTTATCCATTATACCACCTGCACACCCAACTTTACAGCACCTGGTATTAACAAGACTGTCACCTATCTAGGTACTGACTAGGTTCAATGTTACTTAACTTTGGTGATCATATGATCAATGTTCCAGCGTGATATGGCTGTAAGCTTAACTAATCAACCATAGTGAGATTTGAACTGGTCTCTCATGGTAAGAATGCTAATGTTTGAACCATTTGGCCACATGCCCATCCACTTCATATATACACTTTTAATATTTGCTGACATGGCATCATACGTAATCAAGAAAATTCTTACAATTTTGTTTAACGAATCCTACTTCTAATATCATAGATTGCTGTTATAAAAAGTTTGTAATAATTTCTATAGGTAAATGAGGTTTTATTCCTCAGATACCGCTCGTACAACACTGAATGCTCCTACTCAAAACACTGTTCTCGAATTTGCACATGCATCAATAATGTAAAAATCGCCACCCACTTCTCACTTCTCCAACCATTTTATTATGCTAAAACCAAAGCCAACTGACCAATCAGTGTTCTTGGCTTCATCTTCAGTCACAGAGTCAAATATCATCCTCCAGTCTGACCAGTCAGCACACGGATTGCTATTGGTCAAAATGTGTTAAGCTGTATAAAAGCCAACATTTCAGAATAATACACTTCCAGAATAATTAAGTGTGTGTGTGTGAGAGGAGGGAGATTCATGCCATTTTCAAAGGAACAAAATGTTGCTGCTATGTGTTGAGTATTGAGGTAAGGAAGTTATTATTTTTCTTTACACCAGATGCAAGCCACTCTGACTCGTTTACTTCTATGTAATTGTTCGCTACAATTGCATAAAAAACTAAAAAAGTATATAAAATAAACTAATAAAAACGTGTGTGCATATCAAATAAAGATCTCAATATCTAGTGTTAGTGCCTTGTCCTTTTTTCTATCTGATTAATGCTTCGACACTTACCCATGGAAAATCCATCATCCATGATAGCAGCTCCATCTTTGTTCTTACGATTCAGTTTTTCCTTGCAGTTCATTGAATGTTCCACAAAATTCAGTGTCTGAAATTGAAAACAAATATTCAAGCAATGATTAAGTGCGTCATGCTCCATGTTCAAGAATTTACTTAATGTATCAATTATACAATAATCCTTTCAAACTAATTTTCTCATCTTTGATATCTTTATCTCAGTGTTTTTGTCTTCCTCAAGTGTATATTGAATTTACTAAACTTGTTAGCAAAACGATGAGTGCAAATTGCAAATTAGAGATACCAGAATCAAACAAATGCGGAAATTTAAATATCTGGTAAGTGTGGCATTGAAATCTGAAGGCATATTGGGATAGCCAAAGATGCATTTGAAAGTAGATTATTAAGAAATAGAAAAACTTTGCTAGAAACAAAGACTACTAAACTGTTATGTGATATCTGTCCTTCTGTATGGCAGTGAGTGCTGGACAATCTCTTCAAACATGAAGAAGAAACTTGAAGAAATGTGGTTCTACAGAAGGATGCTTAGTATACCAGTGTCCAAACATGTCAGCAATGACAAAGTTTTAGAGAAAATGGAAAAAGGTAACTTATACTTAACATCAGGAAGAGACAGTTGAGGTTTCTGTGGCACATGAGGAAAGAGAGCTTTGAGGGTTTGATACTCATAGGACAGATTGAAGGCAAGAGAGAGGAAAAAAAATGCATAACATATTTTGTGAGCCTGAGTAAATGGATTGCAGAATAGGGTTTAGGAGAAATAACAGAAAGACAAAAATTTATTAAGAGCTACAACGGACAAGAAGTTGTGGAGACCCATGATCGCCTACGTCCTGAGGAAACAGGGTGCATAAAGAAGAACCTTGTAGGAACATTGAACAGGTCCTTTTGACATACAATTCTTCATCAAATATCAATAATAATTATTATTACTAGTTTTACTTTATCTTATTGTTGCTTTTTAAATTAAACATTATTATTATAAAAAGAGTTGTAGCTGGCAGCTGGCACACAAGTCAATATCTGTTCAATATCAATTGGTTTACTGTAGAGAAGGAGGGGGATCTTGTAGATTCTTGGCCAAAAACATCACTGATGATGTGTACCAGAGCATTTGAAAGATGCATTTCACAATAAATTTTGATTTTGTTTTTTTTTTGTTTTTTTTTTACTCCATCTTATTATTTTTACTAATAATAGAAAAATATAATTTACACTATTTATATTCAAACTCTTGTCCTCATCTTTGTTGTTGCTATCTGTTATGCCTTCCGGCCTTCATCAGTTGTATATCGATCTAGGTAACCTACAGGGAATTCTGAACTGAACACTTTATTTAATCTATGAGGGTAAAATGTTCTCATTTTATTGCACATGTCTAGGGATATGTCATTTAGTTCTTATTTTTAGTAGTGCTTAGTTATTGCTTGCCCATTTCCACTGTGATCAAGTACACATTGCCTGACGGTGGAAACAGAGCAAGCAATAATTGAGCAGTACTAAAAATAAAAACAAGATGAAATAATCCAAGACATAGCCAGTGGAATGAGAACAGTCTACCCCTATAGATTAAATAAAGGGTTCAGTTCAGAATTCCTTGTAGGTTACCCAGATCAATATACAACTGATGAAGGCTGGAAGGTACAACAGCCAAATAATTATGATAACAGCAACAAAGATGATGATAATAGTCCGAATATAAATAGTGTAAATAATGAAAAACTCCTCATCCCAGAAATTCAGACAGAAGGTGATCAGAGGATAACAACAAAGATGAGGACAATAGTCTGCATGTAAATAATGATAACTCCTCATCCCAGAAATAATATAAAAAAAAAATAAAATAAAAATAAATGCTATTTTCATAAAATATTTCCACAAATATAGAAGAGAGAATTTTGTAACAATATTTACATCTTTTTTTTTAGGTGACAATCAATGAAAATTTTATTTTTTCTTTCTCGGTCAAATTTTAAAATTAGTAAATGAAAAATGTACAGTAATAAAAGTATTTTATTTTAAAGAGTTGCATCACCTAAAAAAAATTTAACATGAAGAAAAAAATTGCTTACCAATGGCGGAAGGATGATAAAAAAGTTGCGGAGATGCATGTTTTTAGGATTTCGGAATTCTGGTGCAAAGACATCAACAAGCATCTGTAGAGAAGAATATGTTTCCCAATGAATAAGGGCCAAACTTTATAATATTTTCAATTCAATAGAAAAATAAAGGACATTCTATATTTAGATACTAAACAGAAAGAAAAAGGCTGAAAAACAGAATGTATCATTGTGTATCATTGTTCATTCCTTAAGTAGAAACTAATAAACTTTTGGTGAACATCAAGAAGCGTGCCTGTAATAAGATGGAGTGTCAAAAGGATGGTCTTTCCATTAGCATTGCTTTTTTTTTTTTTTTTTTATCTTCATTCTTTAGCATTGTTTATTGTTTTAAAAAGTGATGAATAGAATTTTAAAAACTAAACATGAAAGTGATTTTATACATTTTCTTTGTTCTTGAGAATTGACAACAAAAATAATAAACACTATTTATTTATTAGATTTTTTATTTATACTATTTATTTATTGGAATAGTTGACGAAACTTCAGTTAATTGCCAAGATCCAAACTTTATAAAATGGTACGTAATAAGGATTTCCTTATAATTGCTTCACATATTTCAATAACTTAGTAAATTTTAAAAAATTGTTTTCATATTTATTTCCTTATAAACTGGTAACTGATTAATATTGCATTGCATTTAGTTCTAATTATATTAGTTTTTACAATGGTGTAATTATAAAATTATACTTGTAAATAATCTAATAAATAGCGTTTAATATTTTTTTGCTGTAAATCCTCAAGAACAAAAAAAAATGTATAAATTCACTTTCATATGTTTAAATCTTATTCCTATTGTAATCATTGCTTTTTAAAACAATAAACATTGCTGAAGAGTGAAGTTAGTTAAAAACACAGTGTCAATGGAAAAACTGTTCTTTTGACACAACACCTTATTGCAAACACGTTTGTCCATGTTTGCCAGACTTTTTTCTATATGAATCATAGTTTTAAGTTACTTGTTTTTAATAAATTTTAATTCATCTCACTTTGACAGTAGGTAGTTAGGAGACTTGGTACAGTGACAAGCAACATGATTGATGAGAGCTAAGTGGTGAGGGGTGATGACTTATTACTGGTGATTACCTTACATGTCATTCTGTCTGATAGGCTAGGTCAAACTACAAAAAACTGTTGCTATGAAAGACGACGTGGATCAATATCAATATCAACTTAAAAGAAAAATGTTAATAATACTTTCTATCAAAATAACGGACTTTAGAATTTGTTTAAAGAAATTAATTAATATCAGTTTTATTTGTATAATTTCTATTAATTTAAAAATATCATTAGAATGTATTTAAAATAATACATAGGATAAATCTTCTCTCAATAAGGCTTCTATTAATTCTTCCCAATGTTCACTGTATTTCTGTAGTAAACTCATTAACAATTTACAATATAAATGGAAAAATCTTATTCTATTGCTAGTCTTAATCACATATGTGATACTTTTCTATATCATAATGTAGCTTCCCTGTGCCTTTTCTAGAAATACTTTCATGATAATTCAACTGATGAACTTTCCTCTATGGTACCTAGACTTTATGAATTTAAGTGTAGTACGAGGTTGGGGGAAAAAGTCTCCTCATTCTACACTTGGAATGGTTAGATGTAACTATAAGTTCTATGATAACAGTTTCTTCTATCACACTTCTCGCTTGTGGAACTCTCTTCTGGCTTCTTGCTTCCCAGTCAACTTTGATCTTCAAAAATTTAAATGTTATTTTCACTCTTCTTAATTCTTATTCTTTAATTGTTTTCCTTCCTTAATAGTAGTTTTCTGCATATTCTCTAACACTCAGTAATTTCATGAGTCCTAGTGACTTTATTGCCTTGCTTGAGGTGAAATGATTAAAAAAGTAAAATATCAACAGAAGAATTTATTACATCAAGGTGGATGTGTCTGAAGGCAGAATAGTTATAGAATTTTCTGTTATTTTAATCTTTACAAATAAAATACTATAATTTATTTATGCCTTAGATTAATTTTAGCTTGCAGATAAACGGACAATAATTTTATAATTTATTTATATTAAAAGTTTTATTGTCATAAGAGGACAGAACAAGTAAACTAGAAAAGAAATTGAAACTCACCTTAAAATATTCTGTGCCTTCTGCAAAATTCTTGGCCAGATTCCCAATAACTGCATCAAGATTTCTGTTGAAACAAAAAAAAAACTTTCAAAATAAAACAGTTAAACACTCAGATGTCATACCAACCTGAAATGTATTAAAACAGTATTTCTTAAACTGTTGTTTGTTTAGCATCCCTTTGATGAGAGATGAAGAAAATTTTGTATACTCTGTAAGAAAAGAATCAGTGACCTTTTCCTAATATGAAATACAACTTGTGTTTAAAGTTTCATATGAAAATTTTTTCCACAAACAAAACTGTTTTTTTTTTTTAGATTTGTAATGGGTATTATGGTTTGTACAGACAGAATTTCATGTCCAGCTGTTAGACTTGATTTCTTTACTAACTGCCTGGCTGACTAAAACCAAAATCGTCTTTTCAGTTCATGCCCGTGTTGGTAGATTTGCTTCAAGCTGAATTCTAGAATTATCATGAGGAAAGATCAATTTATTTTTTACAAGAAAAATAAAAGAATAGTTGATTTTTAATGACATGGAGGAGATATTTCACTGAAATGATGTTATACACTGACAAGTCCTGTAATTATATTTATGCTGCACTGAAAATAATTAGCAACAAATTCTAGTTCTGAATATTTTCATAAAAAAACATTCTAACTTTTAAAAATGGTAGAAGCTATGAAACAATATTGTGCCTATACTTCTAAGAGACTGCAATATTTTTCCAAATTCTGGATCTTTTTCTACTAGCCGTGAATTGGATAGTTTTGATTGATTGATTTGTTTTTTTTTTTTTTTACAGTTTATCAACCTTAAGGTTATTTAAAGCCTGAAAATATTTAGGATTGTAAGAATTTATTTTAGACATAATAATGATTTACTGATACAAGTCCTACTATTTAACTCATAGATGGTGGGAGAAGATGTGGATTCATATCATTCCTAATGGCATTTGTGAGTATATAAATATAACAAAACCAACTGGAATTGAAACTCACTTATCAGAATTACAATTCTGAGCCGTTATCCATTATATCACCCACACATCCAAACTTACAGCACCTGGTATTTCCAAGCAGTCTCTCATCTAGGTAATGACCATGCTCAACATTGCTTAACTTCAGTAACTGGATGGGAACCAATGTTTCAACATGATATGGCCATAAACTAAATTGGATAGTGATTGAAGAGAATTTATAATGATGATAAGGGAGTAAAAATATGTCATGGAGTGGCTGGCCAAATATCTTATCAACCTGAGATTCTATTGATTGTATATAAAAACTAGTCATGGATGAAAACATTGATATTTTTCAATAAAGTTTCTGTCTGGGAAAAATAAAATAAAATAAATAAATAAAAATAAAAATTCTCCATGGATGGAGAAAGACTTAAAAGAAAAAAAAAAAAGGATAAAAAATGCTGATTTTTTAATTGAACCCGAGGTGACTTTATAGAATAATTGGTCATGGTTAAATGTAATTGGCAGAAATGCTCAACAAATAGCATTGACAAAGTTTGCAATAGACAATAACAAAAGAAAGAAAAGAACAGGGCAAAAATAATACTAAACAAACAATAAATATGCAAGACAAAAGTAGGCAAAGTAACAGTAATGAGGCAAAAAGTTCCCAAAGTAAGAATGGTGATAACATATAAAAGGGATACAGACAAGTGATCACAGCGTTTTGACTTCAAGACAAAAAAAAAAGATGAATAGAAATATGGCGGATGAAACCGAGAAGTGGCCTATCTTATTAGCTAAGAAGATATTGCTGTTCCTATGTGTTTATGTCTGTTTATTATGTCAGTGTTTCTTTCATTATTTAGTTGTAAATCACTCTATAAAAAAGTGCATTTAGAAGTCTACAAATTATCCTAAATGAAATTGTTTGTTGAATGCCTTAAAACCCTCAACGAACCACATGGTTTGAAATGAAAAAAAAGGGCGCAGACTGGAGACGTAACAAAGTTTGCAATAAACAATAACAAAAAAAAGATAAGTAAAGGGCAAAAATAATACTAAACAAACAAATATACAAGACAAAAGTAGGCAAAGTAACAGTAATGAGGCAAAAAGTTCACAAAGTAAGAATGGTATTAGCACACAAAAGAGATACAGACAAGTGATCACAGTTTTCTAACTTCAAGACAAGAACAAAAATATGGCAGATGAGATTGAGAAGTAGCCTATCTTATTGGTTAAGAGAAAAGTCCAGCATGCATCTGTATGTTTTATCTGAGGGGGATATTTGCAATCATTTCAATACAGATTGGAACCAAAAGACTTAATGTTTGCTTAATTTGCTAGAATTTCCCAAATCAGGCATGTATCATATTTATGTCTTCTCACACACTAATATGTTTGTTAGCTTTTTGTTTTTTTTTAATCTCATCTTTGAGGAAATAAGAGTTTGATTAGGGTGGGACTGAGATAATGTGAAATAGATGTTGTTGTTGGCAGAAACAAAGATTCAAAATAAAAGATATACTTTTGATAGCTCTTCAAAGTGATTCAAAAATCTCTCTTGTCCTCAATATTCCCATCTCTTGCCATGAGAATTGAATCAAATGAGTAATTTTTATCAAGACAAAGAAAAATCTAGACAATATTCCCTGAATACATTACCACCTAAAAACATTACCAATTTTTATTAGATTTCTATATTTTCGTGTGGTAGTGTCAACACAACATAAGGGAAGTAACTCCCTTTTTTTTTTTTTTAATAAAAGACAAAAAACTATTTCATTAAATTTACAAAAAAAAATAAAAAAATAAATTAAATCATAAAGAGAACTGGTATTTTGAAATTATTTTCAGTTACAAGAATTCAAAGCTGAATATATAATTCTCGAGATAAAAGTGATAAAGAACAATTTACTTGGCTGCTTGCTGGCATTCTGCAGAAAGACCTTCTTTGGCTGAAAGTTCTTCAAAGCTCTCAATGTCATCAAGGTCTGGAATAAAGCGGATGGCATTACTGCAACAGTGAAGACCACCAGAACGTATCATACGGACATAGCCCATAGCATTGCCTGGAAAAAACAAGAATTATACAAGCATAAGTTGACATGGAAAACATGTTTCAAAGTAAAAAATAATAAATAAGAATTATTAAAGATTAATAGTAGCAATAGTAATCAATCATCAAACGATATAATTATCAATGTATATTTATTTATATATTTCCTGTCCCATCTATAGTGGGAAAATAGGTAAATCAATTTAATTTAGTAAATTTCTGAGTGATTACTTCCCTTAGTCATTTTAATAATCTATACAAATAAAATATTTATCTGCATTTAGACAAAATTACTCAGCAAAATGAACTGTTTAATTAATCAGTTCCTTTACTCCATGTTTCTTAGATTGCAGTATTATTTGTTTAAGCCTTTCATGCCAGGCACTCAGATACCTTTGTCCATTAAGTGATCATCTCTCTTCAAGTTGTTCTTTAAATAAGTGTCACGAATTTTATAGTTCTATTGCTAATCTTTTTCTCCCCAGAGATATTTCCATTTTACTGTGTTGTTAAACACATAAAAGTTTTAATATGAAAAGATATTGAGCAAAAAGTGAGCTTATATAATACCAGAAGTAGTCACTGAATCATAGATAGCATTGAACATATGAAAATATAAAGGGGGCAATTAATTAAAGGATTCATTGGCCTTTATTTTAATTTTCAAAGAACATGCTTCAACCCCCACTGGAAGATGGCTGAAACAGAAGATAACTAATGTGTGTGTGTGTGTGTGTATATATATATATATATATATATATATATAGTACAGGTAATTGATCCGTTGGTATATAATCTGGGTGGATCCTAGTAATATTATTAAAATTGATACAGAGAGCTCGATGTTTTTATTTTAACAGAGCATATGAATTTTTTTTTTACAGCAAAAAACAAAAATTACCTCAACATAGATATAGTCTATTTTAAGTCGTTCTGTATACGGCTATCATCAGTCTCTAAGTGTCTGTCTTGGAGCATTGTTTTAAATTTATTTTCAATGTCAGTCCTTCTCTCGTAGACGCCTTGTTAATGAGAGTAGGTTTCTGTTATGAATTGGTGGAGGCGTAAGTTATCTTATCCTGGAGCAAGCAGTCTGGGGTTGGAGTTTATTTATGGCCAGGACTTGTTATCAATTCTTACTATGTTGTAGCCAGTAGATGTTGTTTGTGGTTTAATATCAGTTCCTACTATGTGGTGTTTTTTATAAAAAGCCCTGGAGTGTCTTTTTCTGGGATTCACAGTAAATAGTTTTTGTACTACAGGTGTCCAATATTATTAATAAGTGATGGGGGATTTAAACTTAAGCCCATTAAGATTAATGTAAATTAGTTGAGTTATAGATTTATAGATTGTGGATAATACCAGAGCACCGAATGGAATAAATCATACTGTCCAACACACTTATATGCATACATATCTTCATACATACATATATGTACCTTTACATGTGTGAACATGTAAAGGTACATATATGGAGTAACAGGGAGTGACAGTGAATGAGAATGAGAAGATTGAAGATGGGGAGGATTGAGAAAGGGCAAAAAAAGTTTTTGAAGATTGTAGTTATCAGGGAAGTAAGAAATCAGAAGTGAGTTCCACAGGTGGGATGTGCAAGAAAAAAAACTGTTAGAGTAGAAATGATGTTGCATCTAGCTAATTCAATAGTAAAATGGTGAGACCTAGTTGCCAATCTAGTAGCACGCTCAAATTTATGCAGTTGGGGCACCAGGAAAAAAAGCTCATCCGAGCAGTTACCTTGAAAATATATGTAGAACAGACAGCAGGAAGCCATGTCATATCAGTGAGAAAGTGACTGGAAGCAGGACGTCTGGTCAGGATTGATTATATTGAAAACCCTTTACTGGATTCTGTCAAGAGTCTCAAGATGCACCATAGGAGCACCAGACCAAATATGGCAACAATATTCAATACACAGACCGTATCCTTTGAGAATTATTATATTTAATTAAATATTAAAAGCAGTTAATCTTTAAAGATAGACTTTTTCTAATTACCAATGACACCAACTTCTTCATTTACAGTCTATAACTATTTAGATTGGTTTGTTTAATAATATATTAACACTTTTGTGTCGTTGGGGAGGTTTTACTGTGCTGTAGAGGATGAGGTCAGCATATACTGAGTCCTGACTACAGGGATTAGTAAAAAAAAACTGGAAGCTTGCACCTAAAATCATACAAGAAACACTGATTTTTATCTCAGAAGTTAAACAACAACAAAACTGATTACCAATTAGATGGTTGACTGCTTGGGAATACCAACTACTGTAAACAACTTTTTTTTTTTAATCATTTCAACCCAAGCAAGCCAATAAAGCTACTAATATTTCTGAGTGTGAAAGAATATAAGTAAAAGAAAACTATTATTGAATCTTTAGCATTCAATCCACCTAAGCCAATAAAGCTACTAATATTTCTAAGTGTGAAAGAATATAAGTAAAAGAAAACCATTATTGAATCTTTAGCATTCAATCCACCTAAGCCCACCTCATAAATACTGGCTCTCAAAGTCTCACTGTTTGCGTGACTTCCTGCGTTATTTGCAGTGATGTCATCAATGTTTAATGATAGAGGGTTAAGGAGAAAGAACATTAAAACAACAGGAATTAAGAAGACACAAGATAACAATTGACATTGCATTTAAATTTTTAAAGTTGATCTGAAAGGAAGAGGCTGGAAGAGAGTTCCACAAGTGAGAAGTGCATGAGAAAAAACTGTAAGCATAGAACTTACAGTTATGTCTAGCCATACCAACTGTATATATATATATATATATATATATATACACACACACACACACTATATTAAACAAAGCTTAGTAAATAACTACAACTAACAATTCTAACTGCCCCCCCCTATTAGTAGGGGTTCAAAAATATGCTAACTGAATCTCAATGAAGAGAGGTACCCCTGCCACTTGACCAAAAAAATGGAGCCACCTGTTTACTGTACCCATGTCTATTATCTATAGTGCAAACTGGACTAACTGGTCTACTTATCTACTGAATACCAAAATGACAGCTTTCAGCATTAAATAATCTGGTAAAGGTTGAAATGCTGTAAAACAAAATAAACCAAAACAAACTAACTGCAATTGTATTTGCCTACAAAGTTACCTACCAATTTGGGTAATGAGTGTTCGGAACTGGTCAAGATAGCTTTGTCCATCTGGAGTCACACCAAGTTTTCTGATTCCTTTATTAAACTTCTCTGCCCGGTCAAAGGGATACTGGTATGAGAAAAAGAAAACATCAAAATAAAGTATCACTGATTTGAAATTAACAAATGAAACAAATACACGTTAGATAATTCGGAAACTAACCTGCTGATCTGTCTGAATATGATGCTCTTTGAAAAATTTCCAATCCTATAATAAAAGAATTAAGGAATTAATCAATTTACCATGAAATATCAGAGAAAAACTCTTTTTTTAAGTATAACAGCAAAAGGAAGCCAAATATGAATGCTTCCTCAACATTAGTTTAATCCTGCTTGGCTGATTGTTGTAATATTTATGTAATCATTGTTCTTTGTTTACATTAAATAACAAAGAACTTCTGGTTACTTGAACTGTAATTCGAGTCCCTTGTCATTTCACAATTCACAGTTCCTTGCTACTTGATATGACCAAAGAACAACAACGACACAAATATGTACCACAATCAGTTAACCAGGATTACCCTGATATAAAATAGACAAGGAAAACAGCAGATACAATAGGTAAAGATTTGGTGATGGTAAAATGAATATTTTTTATATGAAAATGTATTATTTGTTCTGCTTTTAATGAAAATGGCCTCTATTTCTTTGAGAATGTTTTTAACAGTAATTTTTATCGCAGAAGCTAATGAAGTAACTATAAAGTTATGGCACAATTTACAATATATGCCTAATGTCAGACTGGACTCTGAATATTCAATTTACCACATAATTATACTGCTAAACTGGAGCCTGATTTTTTTATCTGTTATTATGCAAACAGGTTGGTAATTTTAAAGTATGGAAGCTTAAAAGGAAGAAGTTTATTTTATAAAATTAGTAATCTAGGATTAGGAGGTTGGAGATTTGTAGGTCAAGGTTTTTGTAATACCCACAAATAGACTTTCGAGGTGCAGGAAAAAAAAAAAAAATGAAAACATTTTTATCTTTTTAGGATTCTGTACTTTAAAATTACAATTATTATAACTTGGTGAGAAAGTGACTGAACACAAGATGCCTGATCAGGATTGATTGTAGTGCAGAACCTTCTCTAAAGAAAAATTCTGCTATTTTCATGAGAACAGACACAAAGTAAGAGTCCATTTCTGTATTTTAAATTGATCACCCAGAAAAAAAAAAATAAAATCAATCTCTCAAAGAAATTAAAGTCATATTCAAGGCACACAAAAATACTTTTGGAAAAATATATTTTTCTCCCCAAATATACCCATCAATTTAACTAAATTTTACTGAATATTAAAATTGCTTCCATGAATTAAATCTAAAAAGAAATTTACTCTAGTTTTATGTAGATATCACATATAAAGGGTGTTCCAATAACTTGGACTGATTTTAAATGTGAATTAAGTTTAAGTGTCTAATGATTTTTTTCTTTTAGATGTGGCAGACATTTGGTCGATATTATTTTTCACACATAATTGCCATGACTTAAATAACATGATCCAATAGAGAAATAAATAAATGTTCACCAATAACACTGATTTATTTACTGTTGACTTTGATCTGTCTTAATGAATCACCCTTATATATAATGTGTCTTCGTGAAACACCCTTTATATGTAGTTACAAATGTAAGTACCTCAACTAAGTTCGTAGTCTAGTCAGATGAAAAAAAGAAAGACAAACATTTATTTTACTCAAGATTTCTTTACATAACCTTGTCCCTTGCTAATGCACTTAATCCAATGTTTCTTCACAGTTCACATAAATCAAACATTAGCCAATGAAAATTCAACAAATAACTGCAAACCTCTTGATTCTCTCTCAGACATATGCTGACTTTTGACATCTGTTATTATTCATATGAAGTTTTAAGTGAAAGTTTGGGGAATTCAAAAAGAGCAAACAACTAGTGTGCAAACTGTAGGCAAAGGATTGGAAGGAAATGGTAGAAACTAAGTGTTAGGGTAACTCTTTTTTTTTCAAGGTCAAATTTCCTAATATCTTAGGTAGAATATTTCTTTCTCCTTTTCAAGCTGACAGCTGTTAAATGCATGCACTCTGAAAAGGCATAAAAAATGCACTTTTATTCTGCAATATTTTTCTTATTTTATGTGCCATGGATAAGTAAGATTGATTTATTCATTTTCTATGGCTTATCAACTGTTTTCAAGTTATTTAAAGCCAGAAAATATTTTTAGATTATAAGAAATTTTTTTCTGAAATAATTGTAGTAAAATTTTTCAAGACAATAAGAATTAGCTTAGCATTAAGATTAATCCATAGCTGGAGGGAGAAGATGTGGATTCATCTCTTCCATGTAAGTTAATACAATGAACCCAATTGGAATTAGAATTTGACTTTTTGATTAACAATTCAGAGCCATTATCCATTACACCACCCGTACATCCAAGCTTACAGCATCTGATATTCCCAAGTGGTTACCAGGCTCGACATTGCTTAACTTTAGTGATTGTACAGGAACTTGTGTTTCAAGGTTATATGGCTGTAAGCCCATGGACAAGTATGGCTCTTCACAACTTCCTGTCCCTTGTAGCTGTAAGTAATGTTTAACTCTTCACTATATCTCTTTGTCTTTGTTTTGCCATCCATTCACACAAACTCAGTAGGTAGGTTACTTACTCCCCCCCCTTGCCCCTCCAGCCTTTAACATGTTCTTTGAGTGCTAAAATCTTCAAACCTTCTTTCCTCATTATGTATCCTAGGAATTTCAGCTGTTTACTGTTTACAGAATCTAAAAATTGATATTGCAAAGAGATTATAAAAATAAAACTGAAATTCCAAACTAGTTCTCCTGATTTCCAACTTACCTTGATTAATCGAGATTTGATGTGTTCATCAAACATAAATTGGGAAAAAATGAAAAATTTCTTTCGCAAAAACTGATATGTGAAATTGACCTAAAAAGGAATAAAAGAAGGTATATTAATTAAAGCAATTGTAAATGCAGATAATGTCAAAATATTTTTAAGAGAATAAAATGGCAATTTCTGTTAAATGTTGAAACTATTGTTCCTTTTTTAGAAATTTATAGACAAAATTTAATATTTATTTACTCAGGCCACCATAGGGGGCAAAACTAAGATTCAGTTGACTGACGTATGCTAAGTTTGATTACTAAAATACGAACCAATCAAAAAGTGACACAGTTGAATATGTATCCAAAGTCCAAAGGACAAAAGATTTTCTCATGAGATCTCTTGTCCGACAGTTCCAAATGGCTAAGTCTCACCTACTACAAATGAATCCTTTACGTTTGTCAAATTTCATGAATGCAACAAATTTAAGGAATAGAATTCTCTAAATTTGTTGCATTCTTTTGTCAAATTTCATTCGTTTTAAATTTGTTGCATTCTTTTGTCAAATTTCATTAGAATTCCCTAAACATGAAGGATTCATTTATAGTAGGTGAGACTTAGCCATTTGGAACTGTCAGACAAGATATCTCATGAGAAAATCTTTTGTTCTGGAATGGATGACAAGATATGTTTTTGTCACATACTGACATGTCTTTTAACTACTTATGTTCTACTGTGCAATTTAATTTTTACATTTTGCTAATAAATTCTAATTCTACATAATTTTTTATAAGAATTCAATATTTATGTAAATATGACTTTGCACTAGTAAGCAACATCTTGGAATTTAAAAATAACAACACAGATGAAAGAATGTCATACATATACTTCTGAACAACTTGAATATTGTTTTATTCCTTTGACAGTGAATTGGACATTTTGTTGAGGGTGATGAAGCAAAGAAATGACTACTCTGAGACAATAGATATGAAGTAACATATTGTTTAGTGACATTTATTTTACTAAAATTAAAAAAACAAAGTCTGTGAAGTGAGGGGTAAAAAGACTAAAAAAATAATATTCCAGTACCAGATGATTAATATTTTAAATCTTTATAAATAGTATGAAAAATTAAAATAAAACAAGCACAAAAACTGAGAGATATTAAAGTATCATTGAAGTGACTTACTGTTGTGTTCATGATGCCAATGCCATGTGTTCTGATGGAATTGGCAATGTGTCGGATGTTTATTGTGTTTAAGTGTTTATTGTTGCTCGAGCGCTCAATGAAAATCTGAAAAACAACCAGAATTTTTAAATTTTTATATAAAAAAAAAAATCACATTTTTTTCTTCTCCATGTGAAACAGTCTAAAGTTTCAGTTGAGAGTCATGTTCACTTTGAACTAATGCACGAAAGGCATGAATCTACTTCTCCCTACCAGATATAAGTAAATAGCAGGGCATTCAGATACATTTAATTATCTAAAGGTAGACCAACTAAACAAAAAAAAAGGGGGGAAATCCCAATTCTAGATAAAAGAGAAGATATGTCTATTGGGCTGGCAACTCCAACTCATAAAAAATAAATGTGACTCCAATCAAATGTACCAGTATTGAGTCTTACACTTAAATCTACAATCAAATTAATCCAGGTTAATAAATTGATAATGAAACAAGAAATAATTAGAATTAACGATATAAGATTAATAAATAAATAAATTATTTAATCAACCATGTTAAATTATTTTAATAATAATAAAAAAATATACAAACAACAGTGTAAAATGATTTAATTTATGGACAATAAAGTTGAGTTTTTCAGAATTGTGCATGTGGGTTTTGAAAATGTTTTTAGACTGACCTGATTGTTCAAATTGTAAAGATACTTGGAGACAAACACATGGATATTTCTCATGATTTCCAGTACATCTAGGCCCTGGGGAAGAAGAAAAAAGAAAAGAAGTTTATAATTTATTAAGAACTAGAGTGCTGCTCATCATATGACAGCATTTTAATGTTGGAAATAAACTTTTTCCATAGCTTGGTATATTGGCTTTTATCTATGCCTGAGTTGTTCCATGAGACACTTGTAACTGTAGATTCTGTTGAAGCTACCCACATAAAATACCATTTAACATCAAAAAAAAAAAAAAAAAAAAAAAAAATGCAAACATCATAACCTTCTGAAAACATATATGGAACCTTCAAAACACCAAAATAAAAGAGAAAATAAGAAAAACAGTATCAGGTTGCAACAACACCTCAAAACAATGTAACCTTTTTATAGAGGAGAAAATAGCAATAATCACTTTTCCAGAACAAGAAAAACTCTTAAATAAAAGATTGGGGATTATTTCCAAATGCAAACTTGAAAACAAATTCCTACTATGCTACCTAAAACCACATGACTCAGAAGACTAAATAAAATCCCATAATCTAAAACTTATTTCAAATACCAAAATTTAGAACCAAAGAAAATATGCAAAACAAGAAAATAAATGAAATTCAGGGTGTTTCAGAAAAAATGATATCATTTCATAATCTAATTACAACCATGAACAGTGACACAGTCCCAAGTTTAACCCTCAATATTTATTGACAACCTTATATTGCTATCAACACACCTATCACTACTCGACTCACACATCTCACTACTCCGGCTCTGAGCTCTGTCTCTTCTCCTTTCAATCACAAGTCGCTAGCTCTGCTAACTTTGTTGAGTAATAAGAACTTTATGGGCCATTTAGCTTTCTTTTCCCTCCTTGTTTGGTGGCTGGTGTTATCTCAATAGGGTTGACTCAGGTTTCCCCAAATCCTACAATATTGGGATTAACAGTGAAGTCTAGTGAGAACCCCTTATGTAAACTGTGTACCACAGAGAAGATTGCGCAATTCCTGCCTGTGATCATAGTAAACTTTTGTCTCTTTATGTCTGAGTGCAGCTTTTGAGTCATCCTGGAACAAGAACTTTAATAAAATGCACAACACTGTTGATAAATCTAACAACAGGTTTATTGAATATAAAGAAAAGTTGGTGGAATAAAATCTCTCTATTATCTACTGCCAAAATCAAGTTTTCTACTGTAGGATGGTGATGTGGGAAATAATCTAGTCACAAACACTAAAGTAATGTTGATTCTTCCTCAATTCTTCTGTCATGCAGGTGTCTGTATGTTCCCTCAGGCTAATGAAAGTGTGGGTGTGTTTCTCGTGTGTGATAACTCTTTCTCAGCTGAATTCCCATCTTTCTGTCAGCCTGGGGCGTTGTTGTTTATATAGTCAACTCCCACAACAAAATCTGACATTGATATATCTAATTTCCCCACCTGGAATCTTAGGAGTCCTTGTTAAAAAAAAACATATGGTACCTTTTTTGTTTATCTTAGAATCTTCTTAGGTATCTTTCTGTAAAGATAATTATGCTCCTGTGTGTTCAACATAAACAATCGTAACCTTGGATATTAATACAACACAGATGTTTAGTTGTTTGTCCAGAATAATTTGTAAGAACACACACATTTTGAAGAGATAGATTCATGTAAAGAAGCTACTTTAATTTTAATTTCACACAACACATTAATCATGTCTTCTTCTTATCAGTGGGAAGTAGATAGGGCTGGAAACCTTGAATTTGCTCAATTTTATTGCATTTTATCTAGTTAATTCTGAGTTCAATTTTTCTTGAAACTGTCCTTATATTCATTTTATTATTTTAAAACATAAATTTTAATGCATTTCATTTTTAATTTTCTCCTCAACCAATAAATCTAGAGACAAAACAATGTAACCTTTTTATAGAGGAGAAATAATCTAGTCACAAACAATTCTAGATAAAAGAGAAGATATCTTGAAAATTTTAATAATTATTATCCAATTAATGGTCCCCCCAAATCACCATCCTGTAATCACCATGCAATTAAATGTTTAAACAGTGGCCTGTTGCATAATAACTTGACCAATTGTCATTCAAATGATCTCAAATTTTAACAGCACGTGTAGAAACAACTTAAAATTCTATATTTCAGAAAAGAACTGGAAAAGAAAAGGTGTCTTGTATGTTAGAATATGCCCAAACAGTCAAACAAGACTGTGCAATATGTATTTGTAAGAGAATTTGCTAAAAATGTGCAATGCAGATTTGAATATGGCACAAAAAGTTCAAAGGAGAAGGTTGTCCTTGCAGGGGAAAAATATTGGACAATCATCTGTATTAGAAGAGATGATTGAGTGGGTTTGGGAAACATTTTTACAAAGCCTTAGGGCATCCATTAAGTCTGATAACCCATACTGCCACCCTTGAGACTGTTACCCAAGACATGCTGCAGCATGTTTGGCAGGAACTGGACTGCTGACTTAACATATGCTGCATTACAGGTGGTGCACATATTGAACACTTGTGAAATATGTTCATGAAATCCACATATCTTTAAATTTCTCATTCAAATTTTGACAAATAAATTTTATTTACTCAACAATAATCTTGTTTATTTTGATTTCCCTAGACTATGTAGTTACTCTGATATTTACATCTCAAAATGATGTAAAAATCTTTGAAACACACTTTATAAAAATAAATAAATAAATAAAAAAAAAAAAAAAGCAAAATAAAGATCATGACTATATATAACCTAAAACATTACCCCTAAAAACAAAAAAAAACAAATAAATCACACACACGCACACACTGTGATGGGTTAGTTTCCTCCCTCCCTTAATCCCCCAGGTTCCTATATACAGAACCTGGGAAAGTAGTAATGACACATAGTCGGAAGATCGCTGGAAACATGAAAATGACAATTAACATGCAGTGTTTATTCCTCTGTCCACACTATCTATCTATCTATATATATATATATATATATATGTATGTATAAATATTCTATCTCTGATACAAAGAACTCCTCCTCATTAATATAGTAAATGAAAGAAATCTCAAAAGGTTAGAAAAAATAAAAATTTTTTAGTTTATTTTCATTTTATTAAAACATTAAATTACTTAAATATGTAAAACTTTTGTGCTTATAAATATGCATTTTCAGCCACTACATGTATTAATGATTGACAACAAATAGTCAGCAAAATTTACAACATTACAATGATTAATTGAGTGTCCTTTTAATTATAACCATAAACTTTATTTATATTTAAGTAGACATAACTTGACTTAATGATATAGGAGATAAAAATTTACATATATATGTAAATATCGTCTGAATTAATAGATTTACATATGTGTAGATATTGCCTGAATTCACAGATTATATATATATATATATATAGAGAGAGAGAGAGAGAGAGAGAGAGATTGTCATTTGTTTTAAATGAATAAATATAGATATTGTTTTAATTCATATATTCCTTTTAAATGAAAAGGAACAGATATTCTAAAATTGAGCTTATTTAAGCTACATTTGCTCAACCTTACCATCTAAAATATCAGGTACATTTCTCAAGAGATTTTTAAAATGGTCTTGTCATTTATTCAGTCTATCAGCCTGACACTTGACCTTTAACTTGGATTTGTTTGTTTTTTTTCTGCCACTGTTCTCATTGACAGTGTTCCAAGTGATAGTAGATTGTTTTTGACAGCAGAAGAATTGAGGAGTCAAATTTTTTCTTGGATGTATTCAGCTTGTTGATCTTCATAAGAATTCTTGAGTTTAGTAAGTGCTTAATTCAAGTCTTTGAGCCACTGTAGAGGTTAGTGTTAATGTGGTGTTTCACTGCCTGGACATTAACTAAAACCCTACAGTCTAAGCTTGATGGAACCAGCAATGTAGGTTTCCATTTCTTGAAATTCAAGAAAAGGATGAAATACATAAAGAAATAAATTGTGTTAACAGATTCAAATTGGGAGTTGATATTTGGAGGAAGTTAACTTTAACATCAGATATTCATAGGTTATTCTGTAAGGAATGAACTTACACTCAACACCGTGTAATATTAGCATATTAATTACTACACAATTATGAATTGTTGAATTGTCAAACAAATGAATATTTCATTTGTCAATCAGGGAATAAAGCTTTTGACAATTTTTCATTAGTTTTTTTAAATTTTTTTGCAGTGAACTAATATTATTTTAATTTCTGACTCTCAACAAACTCATGATTACTGTTTTAATTTTCTTTCTTTCCTTGATAATTGTATTCAGTTGTATCACTATGTAATCATTAGAGTAAATGAAAGTGCCAACATGTTTAGAAGGATCTTCTAAACATGTTGGCACTTTCATTTACTTTAATTTACTTGTGATGCCATAATTTTATATGAACAGCTTTTTTTTTTTCAAAAATCAGTTCACTCCAAGCAAGGCAGTAAAGCCACTAATATTCAGGAGTGTTAGAGAATATGAGAAAAAAAACCCATTAAGGAACAAGAACAATAAAAGAAAATGAATTAAGAAAATAGAAGAGAACAACTGAGATTGCATTTAATTTCTTTAAGATCAAAGTTCACTGGGAAGCAAGAAGCTGGAAAACGGTTCTGTGAGTGAGAAGGGCAATAGAAGAAACTGTTAGCATAGAACTTACAGCTACATCTTGTAACAAGCATGCACAGAAGCATCCTCAAACTGCGTGTGTGTGTTGTCGCCAGGCACACCTTGGAGTACCATAATGGACTCAACCGAGGACTAGAAGAAGACGCGTGAGTCGTTTGGGGTCTTTTCTTGGGCGACACAAGCTGTTGCGGTCGGTCGTCCGTCGACAGCAGTCTTGGGTTCCGTTTTGCTTGTTTGATGTCGTAAAGTGTTCATTCAGAAGAGAAGGCGTTCGTTTCATGTTCGCAAGAAGGTGTTCGTTTCAGGTTCACAAGTAGGCATTCGTTTTTGTGTTGCAAGAAGCTGTTTTTTTTTTGTTTTTTTTTCCCCGTTTTCTCACACACTTCTAGCCATTTCAACTGTAAAATGATGAGACCTTTTTGCCAATCTAGTACTGCGCTTAAATTCATAAAGTCTACGTACCATAGAGGAAAGTTCATCAGAATAATTAACATGAAAGTATTTATAGAAAAAGCCCAGGGAAGTTACATTATGACGGTGGAAAAGTGACTAAAGCCAGGTAATGATGCCAGGTAAGGACCAATAACCTTGCAGATTCTTCTTTAAATTTTATCAAGAATCTCTAAATATATAGCAAGAGCACCAGACCAGATATGGCAACAATATTCAAAGCATAGATGAATGGTAGACTTATAAATATGTAAGACAGATTCTAGTGAGAAAAATTATCTAGCACAGCATAGTGCTAAAGAGGATAGAAGACTTTAAATCTCCACAAATTAGTTCCACAGGAATTCAACTAAATCTGAATGCCATATTTTTTTTTTAGCATGTGGTGGTAGGATAAAATGAATAGTAAACAAGTGGACCCCCACCTGACAAAAATGATGATTCCTGCCAATAAAAGATTGACCAATTCCTTTAAAAGAAAAAAATGATAATGCACAAGAACAGTTTCTCCTTCAAAATGGGTCACAGCAAAGAAACCTTGAATACTTTTGACAACAGGATTTTCAGTGGTGCTGTAGTGGATTGGGAAATAGGATTGTACTTATTTGCATAAGTAGAAAAGATATAAAGTGTATAGTAAAATAGGCGACAGACAGAAGTTGATTACTAATTACATGTCATACAACAGCGCAATACAAAAATATGGCATCGCCGATAGGATGTTTAAGTCGCTTGGATGAAACAGAATTTGCTGAGGAAGAGATTATGAACGAAGAAAACCTTGACAGAGAAGAAAGGATGAGTTCTTCAGAGCAGGATAATGCAATAGAAGACAAACCTATGGATGTTAGTGGGAATAACTCAGACATGGAAGAAGATGAAGTAAGACCAAGATCTCCATTAAAAAGAACTGGTCATAAACCTCAAGGGGGAGAGAAGGAAAGAGGTTCTAGAAGGCACTAAATCTCTTCAGCTCAGAGAGGTGTAGTGGATTGGTAAATAGAATTGTACCTATTTGCATATGTTAAGCACAAGAGATATAAAGTGTATAGTAAGACAAAAGCAGAAGTTGACTACTGATCATGTGTTGTAGAACAACACATTACAACAGGTGCAAAAAAGCTCACTTTGGACTAAAAGCAAATTTTCTTTTTTTTTTTTTTTATAAAAAAACTCTCAAACCTGTCATTTAATGTTCATACCAAATACTAATATGAAATGTCAAGATTGCTTACCTGCTCCAAGGTCTGACTAGGTAAATGTGATTCCATCAGAGTGACACCATACTTTTCCTCTGCCATATTTTTCATCTCACTGTAAGTTTTCCAATCATGTAAGGTAACAGTAGTCAAATTGTAGAAAGTTTTGTCCAGGTAATGTTCAACATAAGCTGTAAAGAATAAAATAACAAATAGTATTTTAAATTCCAACTATATAGAAAAATCCCTCAGAGTGACTGAGGCTTAGGTCATTAATTAATGATCTGTCAGTCCAAATCAATTACTTATTGCATACTTCCAAAATTGACTTGGTCATTTCCTTGTCCAGTTCCGGCATTGTTCCTTTGCAATTTCAGTGGTCTAAATTCTACTCATTACTCCTATTAAAGTGACATACATTTGTTATATCATTTGGCCAATTAAAAGTTATTGAAAAAATTATAATTTTATAGTGTCAGCATTATCTATATTGAATAACACACCTATAATATCTTTACATCAGCATTTTCTAGGAAATATTTTTTTAATCTATGAATAAAAATGTTAATTATAGATAATCATGCAGCTATAATGAGACCTCTGTTTGGGTTTGATAAATTGTTTTTTATGAATTATCAACCCATTGCAGGTTACTTAAAGCCAGAAAATATTTTTAAATTGTAAGAATTTTTTTTTTTGAGATAATGATTTAAGTGATACAAGTCTTACTAATTAACCCATATCTGGAGGAGAAGGGGTGATTTCATACCTTTCCCAAGGGTATTTTGGGTAATGAAACCAGCTGTATTTGGAAACCGGCTCTCTAATTAACAATTCTGAGCTATTATCCATTACACCACCTACACATCCAAGTTTAGAGCCCCTGGTATTCCCAAGTGGTCACCCATCTAGGTACTGACCGAGCTCAATGTTGCTTAACTTTGGTGACTGCACAGGAAGTGGTGTTTCGAAGTGATGTGGCCGTAAGGAACTTAAAAGACTGAATGAAAAGCAAGAACAGTGATAAAACCAAATGAATATTGATTCTTTGCTTTTAGATGCTTCTTAGGAATTTCCATTGCAGACAGATGGGTATACATGTGCTCACATTTCAGAGTTCAATGACAGAAAAAAAAAACAATGAGTGCTACTCACTTTTGATATTGATGAATCGATCAAAGAATCTGATTGGTCTCACTCGCAGGAAATTGGATAAGTCTTTTAGGCCAACTTTATGAGGGTTGCGGTCATCAAGTTGTAAGTGTGAGTGAATATGCAATCTCAAATCTGTCTCAATGGAACGACACAGTGGATCAAGTAGATGCTATGAAAGCAAGCCAGAAAAAAAGAAATAAAAAAGAGGATAATTTAGAAGAAAGCAATTATGAAAGGAGAAACTTTCAGTAATTTTGAAAGATCAGTTGTAACATGTTATAGAATCAAATGCATAAAGTTTACTTGAAAGAAATATTTTCTTGTTTCATTTACAAAATCAAAAAACCAAATGCTTCCAAAGTTTTGTTCTCTTTTTTTTTTTTTTGCAAATTCACCCAAAGAAATTCATTCCTTTTGTTTTTTTACTTTTCTCTTTACTCTAAAACTTTTTTTTTTACTTTTTTAAAATTAAAAATTTTTTTTTACATTTTAAAATTTTTTTTTTTTTACATTTTTAAAATTAAAATTTTTTTTTTTTACATTTTTAAAATAAATTTTTTTTTTTTACATTTTTAAAATTAAAAATTTTCTTTTTACTTTTCACTTTTTTCCTTTTTTTTTTTAATTTAAAAATTTTTTTTCAATTTAAAAAAAAACGCCATATGTCAGAAGGATCTTCCCCTATCTACAGAATCAAAGGCTTTAGAGAAATCTACAAAAAGTAAGGCAGTCTGTAAATTCTTTACCCTGATGACCTCAATAATCTGCTGAACAGTTCGAATTTGTCCAATGGTTGACCTATTTTTTTCAAAAGCCGTTTTGATTTTTTCAGAGCACCTTTTCTACTTCTAGCTGTTAGGCTTCAACCAGCAAAGCTCAATACAAACTGTCGTCTCAGGTGAATCAATAAAATCTCTCAAATCTTTTATATACCTAGGAAGCAAAATAAATTCTACTGAAAAAGATGTGAAAATTTGCATAGCTAAAGACTGGGCCACCTTGAATAAAATGGATGTAATCTGAAAATTTGATTCACCAGATAACCTGAGGAAGAGATTCTTCCAAGCCAATGTAGAGGTGGTGTTAATGTATGATGCCACTGCCTGGACATTAACTAAAACCCTACAGTCTAAGCTTGATGGAACCTACGCTCTGATGCTGAGAGAAAACATCCAACTAAATCACAGCTCTATGGACCTATCCCTGATATTTCTACAATCTTACACAAATGCAGAATGTGCTTTGCAGGACATTGCTGGCGAGCAAAACAAGAACTATTGTTCCTGACACCTAGTCATGAAGCAATAAATAAAGTTGAGTATTTAAAATCAGTGGGCATTTAAAATTAGATAAAAAATTATTGGGTATTTAAAATTAACTAAAAATTATTGAATATTTATAATTAATTAAAAAATTTGTATTTAAATTAGCTAAAAAGTATAGAGTATTTTGATGTATAATTAGCATGATTGGATTGCTAAAAGCTTCAGTCAAGTGTTATTTACTATAAAGAATTGCCTTTATTTTACAATTTTCAGAATAAAACTTCATTCAAATAAATTGAACCAGAAAAGCTAATAAAATAGTGGATTTGTTTCCAGAAGTGTAACAAGAGTCCGAGGTTGGGTAGGTAGTCACTCCTGGGTGCAGATGTGAAGGGTAATAAATTTCCATTGGTTTGTAATAACTGCTAATAATTATTGAATCAAAATTCACTATAATGATGAAAGATAAGTACCTCCTTTAAATAATCTGTAACTTCTTTATCAAAACTGTCTTTCAGTACTTGAGGAGATTCCAAATGTCGGACATATTCCATTGGTAATACACAATCCCTCAGTGCACCAAATATGTACTGTAAACAATAAATAAATAAATAAATAATAATAAAAAAGTTACAGTGAAAAAAATATAGAAATTGATTTGAAAATTACATTATACTAGTTCAGTAACTATAACTACAGTAAGTTGACCAAATTTCAAATGTAAATTGCTGTCCATTTAAAATACTATATTTATTAGAAAATATATTCAGTTTAAATACAAAGGGAGCTGTAAAAATGACTTCAAAGGGACACACATTTCAGCTTATATTCTTTTCCTGTTACCCAGGAGTTGTTGTCAGACAGAAAGGAAAATCAGCCCTCTTAACACAGATGTCAATTCCAATTTCATTCAAATTATGTGAGCATGTATATTTTAATTCAATGACAGTCTTAAAAATATTTCTACAAAATTTAAAAAAAAATATTAAATAATTCTCTGAATAATTTCTAAAAAGTTCAATAAAATCTAATTGTCTGAAATTTTTTAAGTTTAAAAAATTAATTTTGTTTTATTTTTTCACCAAGTTTATGATTTTATTGTTCAGACCAGAGTAGGGGTTGTTTAGACTGAGAGTTAGGGGAATATATTACTCCAATGTGTTATTTCAAACCTAGTCAAATTATGTGTGCATGCATGTGTGTGCTTGTGTATACATTAAATAGCACAAGTACATGTAAGCCATTCACATACAACACAGACATACACATGCATGAAAAGTTACACACACACACTACAGAGTGTGTGATAGACAGAGAATTAGCCTTTCTTTTATAATATAGATTCAGAAACAGCTTGAGCAAACAGGATCAGAGTTGAGGTGACCAATGTAAGCATATCTCATGTTTGTTAACATGATGCAATTAGAGGACCTGTCATGGAATCATGTGACCAACTAGGGACATGTCACCATGTGCTGCATATACAAATGTGATAATATTTGTGTTTAGGTTTTGTTTGTTTTTATCCTCAAGTATCTTGTGATTTTGACAAAGATGCCACTGCAATTTAGTCTGTTGGAAGTGGTTGAATGATTTGAAATAAGGAAACTGTGTCCACTGTTTGATTTGTTTTGATCAATCCAGTCTAGATCTGAATAAAGTAAGGACAACTATTAATTATAAAAGCAATGAACAATGTTGTTGTAATACCACTAAGACAAAAGATCAATAAAATTCTACAGACAAGCCTGTTTATATTATAAATATTTATAAACATCAACTTGCCTTAATCAATGATATGGGAGATAAAAACATATTTATATTATAAATATTTATAAACATGAAGTTGACATTTTTTTAAAAGAGGAACTGCAAAAAAATGTTAAAATTATTGTTTCAATTGTAAAAAAGATTGCAAACATGTTGTAATGTAAAAAAATTCTTAGATCACAAAATATTTAATCATTTTTAAATCACAAATTATTAATCTTTTTAAGATTAAGAACAAAAATAATAACATATAAAAAGATCCCAACTTTGTAGTTGCTTTTCCTTAATATATTTTTCTTGTTCTTTTTTATAGTGATTTATTGAAAATGGGATAAAAAAGTACTTACATGTATTCGATGAGTATCACTGATGTTGTCAAGCATATCAGTTAAATAGATAGGGAAAATGACTCGATGCCAGTACAAAAAGCTGCAGTCAGTGGCCATACGTAAACTGAGAAAATATCAGGTGAGAAAAATGAGTAAAAAGTTTTCAAACAGTTTTTAGCAGATATTTGTAGAGTAGAAATGGAAGGCCTAATTAGATAATGGGGGACTTTTACAGACAGAAAACTGGGGGACATAAGTTACCTCCTCCGCCAGTGTTACATAAACAGCTGAGTGGCCAGGGGCCAAGTGTATTTTTGTATGTGCATCCCATTGGTACGAGAATAAAGTAATTCAAAATTGCTACTACCATTGTTGTTATTTTAAATGATGCTGTGAACAGAATCTGGTGAAGTGTGGAACTATCTTAACAAAATAAGATATGGCATCTGCCCTAGGCAGAACCCTCGATTTGATTGCTCAACTCATGAAACAAATGATAGAGCTACAAAATAATACTATCATTGCTGTTGTGGTTATTTTACAATATTGACAGAAAATATAAATACAAGATATTTCAAATGTTTATGTTACATTCTAAGAACTGTCATACCATGAAGTATAAATGGTAGCATGATTTAACAGGTACCATTTAAAAGCTAAAAGTGTCAAGTTTTCATCTGTTAATTTAATTTTAATTTAATTAATTGAAACTGATTTTTAAACACCACTCTGCCTGACAGATGGGTCAGATGTTCCGGAGAGACTTATTGCATGTTCCTGCAATGGCCACCTAGGTCTCCAGTTCTCATGGCATGTGTCTTCTTCCTCTAGAGGTATGTGAAAAGTCTCATCTATTTACTTCCCAAAGATTAGGATGATCTGAAGAAGCCAATAACTGAAGTCTTGGCAACCATCGGCAACAAAATGCTTAGTCGTGTTTGGCAAGAATTAGATTACTTATCCTCAGCTTGACATATTAGAGCTTAGGAAAAAGAAAAGTTTTTTGTTTGGCTAAATATTGTTTATAGAAAATATATTAAAACTTTGTTGAAAGTTTTAATGTTGGGTCTTTTTTTTTTACTATCACTGAATAAGAATTTTTTTCCAATTTTAATGGAATCATTAATGGATTCATGAGTAGTAAAGGAACTTGTTATATATTTTTGGAGATGTGTAAAATATGTTATGTATACCTTAGGTGTGTGCTTAATAGTCAGGTATGAACAAATTTACCAATATATAAACAATTTTGATACAAACATCAATATTGATTTAATAATTAAAGATTTGTGAAAACTAACATATACATTAGTTTGCCTAAGAGTAATTTGGAATTGTTTTTTGAACACTTAACCTTACAGTTTGGAAGTGTCTGAATGTACCTGCAATTGTCTAGCATCGTATTTCAATAAACAGCATTGACATCCATTACATGATCAACTAAAGGCAACTTTTATAAATTTGTAGATTTCCAAAACCATATCTTATAACAAGTAAAACCGAGAAGCCTGAATTTGGTATCATTTGAAAGAGGAACCAGTTTACTGTCATATAAAATTATACTCGATTGCCAACAGTTTTTGAGATATGTCAATTTAATTGCACTACAGTATTTACATTAGTCAGACTATTGTCCTCATCTTTGTCGCCATATTTGTCACAACGTTTCGGCCGTTGTACGCTCCGGCCTTCTTCAGGTGGTTGGAATTTCGAACTGAACCCTTTATTTCGATCACTGGGGTAGACTGTGACAAATATGGCAACAAAGATGAGGACAATAGTCCGACTAATGTAAATACTGTACATAATACCTCATCTCAGAAATATAGACAGACTCTTAATTGCACTAATGTCACATATTCAGATTTCCCAACAATTTGCTCCAGGGATTTAACAATTGAAATCTCTTAAAGACTGAACAAGAATTAAGAAAAATTAAAACACTCACTTTTCCCATAATCTAGTGATTACTTGAAGTTTTTTCAATGTATCAGACAGACTAGTGATTTCATCATCTCGGAAGACTTTCTAAAAGAATAAAATAATAAGCAACAAATGTTGCAACAGTTAAAATTTTTAGTAATAATTAAAATTTAAAACTTTTAGTACTTAGCTAAATGTTTGCATTTACTTGAAGAGGGTCAGAATCTTTATGGGTTTATCATGCATGTTAATCCTCTAAACTCCCACCATCCCCGTGGCGTATAGGGCCGCAGTCGTCTCATGCAAGGTGTTGCTGCTGTAGTTTCCATAACAAGAAGGTTTTTATGGAGTGGAGTTGCTAGTTCTACACCTAAACAGTTTAGGATTCAGAATTGCTAATCAAAGCTAGGCAGCCCAGTCTACCCTGCTATTAAGTAAGGAACTCACACTTTTGTGTGAAAGGGAATGTAATAACCTCAGATAAAATTTGAACTCAAATCGCCAGTACCACTTTCTGCACTAATCACCACTATGTGAAACACACATCCTTTATCCCAGATAGTCCTTAGAAATGGACCTTAGTGAAGAGTAAGTTCTGTGTCATTTTTCTAATTAGTTCTAAGATATTTAAATAGACTCTTTTATTTTACTAGACTCAAAGTCTGCTCCAAGTAATTATTCTTTTTAACGACCCTAAATAATACTTCTATTAAAGTTTTTTTTAGGAGAAAGGTCTGGCAACATAACCTGAATTTATTGTTTTATGATCATAAGAAATTCTGTATAAGAATTGCGTAATTTAATGCCGGAATCTAAATATAAATAGGTATTATTGACAATTTTTTTTATATAAAAATGTATTTTTATACTTTCATAGTTTTTGTTTTTGTTTGAGGGTTCACTATTTGCCCATAGCTGGGACCCTAACAGGTGCTACCACCACGGGTTAGGTGGACCGGGGAACAACAGCAATTAAGAGAAGGTTCCATGCTCCTCAAAACATCCAATCTGTTGATCAGAGGCCTTGCTGGTAGATGTAGTTTATTCTCTGTATAAGAAGTAAAATATATACAGATCTACCACCAATTTTCTGACACCTCTTTTAATCTGGACAAAATTTATGAACAAGTATTTGAATTTCATGTAATTGCCAGATTAATTCACCATGAAGTCACAGGTGACATTGTATGTTACACAATTTTAATTCACGTTTCTAACTGTTGAATATACATTGATTGATTTTCTATGGCTGATCAATCCATTGCTGGTTATTTAAAACCAGAAAATATTTTGTAAGAATATTTTTTGAGATAATAATGGTTTTTGTGATACAAATTTTACTATTTAACCCGTAGCAGGAGGGAGAAGAGGTGGTTTCATAGATTTCCTAAAGGTATTTGCATGTAAGTAAATATAACAAACCCAATGGGAATTGCAAATTGGCTCTCTGATTAACAATTTCAAATCCTTATCCATTACACCACCCTCACATCCAAGCTTGCGGCACATGGTATTACTAAGCAGTCACCCATCTAGGTACTGACCAGGCTCAACATTGCTGAACATCAGTGATTGTACAAGAACCAGTGTTTCAACATGATGTGGCTACAAGCCTTGATGATGTCATAGAGATACAAGAGATGGATAATTGGTCAATCAGAGGTGTATTATTGAATTGTTATTATATTACTTCTAATAGTCTGGCAAAATGGATAATATGGTGCAGTCCTGGAACCAAGGGTTGTGAAAAAAATCAGTGGTGTATATGTACCAAAATAGAAACTGAATATACATAATTCACAGTGAGGAAAAATAATATTACAAATTCAAGATGCAACTGACAAATTAATAGATTTCAAAATTAATTCTACATTAAAATAACTGAGGAAGAATGTCCAGAATCAATGCTTACCAATTTTGTTCCAAAAGACAGAGCGAGAGAAGCAATTAGAATACGCTCCTTGGTGCCTGATGAATAAAAGATGAAGTTGATAAGAATAGAATTTCCATTAGGATTATGGAAATATATTTTTCTAATCTCTAAAGTGGTTCAAGTATTATGTTTGCTTTTTATTTATCAGCATGGCAACATTAGACTGACATCTTGGATTTTATCTATCATGACTTTATTGTCTATTTATAGTAACAATAGTGAAAATTATTAAAGAAAAGAAATAAGTTTAGCATAAAATTCAAAATTTGCATAGAAGAAATGAAATAATGAGTTTAGGTTAGAAATCATAGTCAATACAGTAGTTTTAAGCAATAGATTTTATTATTTTTAATCATTTCACCCCAAGCAAGGCAATAGAACCACTAAGATGCAGGGGGTTATCTGAGTGTGAAATAATGATTGTCATTGCATTTAAATTTTTGGAGATCAAAGTTGACATTTTGAGAATTCCACAAGCAAAAAGTGTGAGAGAACAAACGGTTAGCATAAAACTTATGGTTATATCTAGCCATTTCAATTGCAAAATGATGAGACCAAGCTGCTAATCTAGTACTGCAATTAAATTTGTAAAGTCTAAGTACCAAAGAGAAAAAGCTCATCAAAATAATTACCATGAAAATAATTATAAAAAATGCACAGGGAAGCTATGTTCGGAAAGTGATTGAAGCTGAGATGTCAGTTCAGGACTGATAACATTGCATATTTTGGGGGGGGGGATTTTATTAAGGATCTCTAAATATATTGCAGAGAGTTGAATAGTGAAGATTTATAGTGATACAAACATTTCTTTTTTTTTTTTTTAAATGATGCTAATTTAACATCACTAAACTGTTGATATTGGATTTCTTAAGCATAGTACATATTGGAGAGTAAGTTGGTCCTGTGTCAGACAAAATCAAGTTTAGTAAAGATTTATATGGTCAAATAATTAATACAAAGAGAAGAATCAGGAAAAAAAAGCCAACAAGGCCTGTTACTTGCTTTCAGAATATTAGATCATTACAAATACCGATTGATTGATACCAATGAAATGTTGAGTCTTTAATACTGTGTATATGGAAGATGGTTGAACTATTTCTGATCTCTAGAAATAAAAGAAACAACTGAAAAAACAGTTAAACCATAATCCTTTTCAAAGCAATATTCCTGTATTATTAGTTAAAAAGAAACACAATATTTGTAGATTAAGTTTACTTTAATTTCTTAAAAACTATAAGTCATCAAGTATCAATTAAAAAAAATATTGATGAAAAGTTTCCAGCATAATTTTTCCTTGTATCATTCAAAAAACTTTAAAAGTGTCTTTGAAGTTTACTTAGCTCTTTATTGTTTGTGTGTGTAAACTATTTGAGAATTGCTTGCAGAAAAATAATAGTTTTATACTTTATTCTATTGAAAATCAATGCAGAATGCACAGTTGACAGTATTTACTTTACAAGTTTAACCTGGACAAAAGTGAAGCAAATGTAGGAAACAGATCTCTGATGCTTAATGATGCAGTATGTGCAAGCATGTTCTTGAAGGTTAAATAAAGGGACATTTTGGGCTGACATTGTGTCTATAATAACATCTCTATTAACAAAGCTGAAAACAATAGTTTGAAACAATAAAAGTATGTTGACAATTATTCATCCCTAAAAAAAAAATCATGAAAAGTGGTTTGAACCTGCCATCATAACCAAATGTCAAAAACCATCTAACATTGAACATAAAAGGCTCCAAAAAACAAAAAATAAAACAAAACAAAAAATGATGACATGATGGATAGAGATAATGGATGGTTGTAGAGTAAGTGATCATGGTTAAATGTAAATGGCAGGACTGCCCGACAAAAGAAATTGACAAAGTGTTTTGACTTCAAGAGAAGTTGGGACTACATCAGATGAAACTGATAACCAGCCTATTTTATTGGCATTTCTATGATTCTACTCTCTCTCATTCACTCACTCAGCGGAGGTGAGTAGCCATGATTAAATGCAAAATAATAGAATCGTCCAACAAACGGAATTGACAAAGTTTGCAATAACAAGAAAAAAAGAAGAACAGGGCAAAAATTAATATAAAGCAATCAAACAATATATGCAAGGCAAATTAACAGTGATAAAACAAAGTAGAAGTAATATGGGAAAAAGTTCACAAACTAAGAATTGGGCTTAACACACAAAAACAAATTTGGATAAATAAATTGTTGTAATTTTATCTCATCCTTGTCGCCAAAATGTAACCTAGGGAAAGTTAGTGAATAGAATAATCAAATGAAGGTTGGTAATGAACAATACATATAAGACAAGAACAACACATATAAGATTTGTCAGCAGTGCATAGACAAAGTAGTCAACTGTTAGATGTGATTCAAGTGAATTCCACAATGAATCTCCAACTGCAGACCAACATACAGTATTTACTACTGTATTTATGTGAATGGGGACATACCCATTATCGTCCATAGGTATGCTACAACATAAACATAGAATTCTGACTTCAAGACAAAAGAGATCAAGACTGAGTCAGATGAGACCAAGAAATGGTCTATTTTATTGGCTAGGAAGAAATCCCAGCATGTATTCATGTGGTTCTGCCTATAAATTGGAGAGGGGAAAAGTGTTTTGCAGTTATTCTTATTTAGGATCGGAACCAACAATAGTTACTGTCATGAGTTCAATCCTTCAACTAGGTAGTGAAGCACTGATTTGGATAAAAAGGAATAATAACCAACATACCAAGGATAAAATATGATAATAATTAACATGTATCTCATATAAGCAATAGAAATGTTGAGTCTTTAATACTGTGTATATAATAATAATAACATATATACCAGCCAAAATGAGAACAATGTTTTAAAATAATACAAGTATATATCCATTTAAAGTTATTATAAAGAACAGAGTTAAATTTTTAAAATTCCTCTTAACTACAAATGTAAAAAGAACAAAGAAAATAAAATAACCGTCATTTTAATCAAAATATACAAGATTATAAAGAAACTATTTTTATTAAATAAAACATTTAATACTAGTTAAAATGAATAATAAGTAGTATTAGTACTATTATTAATTTTGATTAGTATTTACTTCCATCTTAATTCTTAATTGCTTTTTATCACAATTTTTATTTAGGTTGTTGATCTATGTTTGTTGAAGTTACATCCCTTTTACTTTGGAAGCTTGGCTGAAAGCATCAGATGAGTGCCCAACAGTTCAGAGAAGAGCAAATCTAACTTTAAACCCATCACACTATTCCACAATCTTTCTTGGCACAATGCTTTACACTAGTAGCATGAATAACAATGATTTTTTTCTTATTTTTATTCATTAGATTTTTCTATTTGAATTAAGATTAAGAGGAAAGTAAATACTGGTCAAAATTATTAATAATTATGAAATAATGTTGAAAATATTTTATTATTCTTCAAAATCATTTTCCCCCTTTTTTTCAGGCAATTTATTTAAAGTAATTAATAATTATAATTAAAAATAACAGAGTAAAAACAAAATGAACTCTCCACTAGTAATCCAAAATAAATTACCTGGACCATTCAAAGCATTTTCTGCAAGGACAAGGGCTGATAAAACATCAAGGCGACTTTCACTGTATTTCTTGTCTTGGGTAATCCTTTTCTATTTAAAATTAACAAAAAATGAAGCAATAATATTTAAACATTGATTGCAGAATAGTATTATATAAATCTATGGCTATTTATCTCTGGATTTGTAAGTGATAAACTTCACAGTTATATCACACTGATTAAAGAATATTACACCAATAGGTTTACAATAGCAAGAAGGTACATGATCAGATCTTGATCGTTAACCACTTTAACCACTTCCCTGCCAATTATTTTTGGAAAAAAAAGTTTCATTTTCAGATAAATTTTTTTATTTGTTTTAATATAGTAACTGAGAAACTAAGCTCCCTTAAAATATGCAAGCAGTGGCTAACACCTCTACCAGATGTATTGGACAATTGGACTTGTTTCAAGCTCAGAAGGGAATAAATAGAATCAAGATCAACATATAAACATGTCTGTAAATGTTTTTTTTAACATTATGTTTTGAATGTGTTTATTCATCTGTATCTGATAAAGATATTTTTGGTAAAAACACACACATATATATATATATATATATATATATATATATATATATATATATATATATTGCTTGAAACATATATATATATATATATATTTTTGCTTGAACTGGCTTCTAATGTTTTGGATGGAGCAGCTTGGGGATAGTAGTCGTGGCTCATGGGGGCAGAGTCTTATGGGTAAAAGAGAAACTCAGATGAGTTCCACCATGGAATATGTGATCGAGTGGCGCTATATCAACTCTAATTCGCTACCTCTTCATCACCGAGGCCCGTTGGAACAGTTGGTATGACGTTTGCCTGACAACGTAACTGTCCGGGTTTCAATTCTCAGTAGTTGATGCGCACTGCTGATGAGTCTCAAATATAGGATGAAACAGCCGTCCAGTGCTTTCTGCATTCTGCTGAGGTTTCTTCTAAACTTGATGAAATACTTAATTATAATTATCTCAAATCCTTCTAATTTCTATCACATATATACATGTCTATGCCAGGAAAGGAGTTAAAATAGGGGGAGAAAAATGGAAATATAGAATTCCTATATTTGGCAATATCTAGCATTTTCCAAAATTGTACCTTGCTTGCTTAATGCCAAGGAATCTATATTAGCATTTGTTTTTCATTGGTTATTTTATTATTTGTCCTTGGTGCATTACAAATGTATCATCCAAGTAATCAAGTCAATTATAACTGTGAAGCAAGAAGTCTCCAAAAGATAGAAACATGTATACAAGAGAAAATTGAACTGCTGAAGAACCTGAACAATTACAAGCTGTAATCAATACATTTTTGTAATTTTATTCTAAGAGTTAAACAACTCTTAGAATAAAATTACAAAAATGTATTGATCTCATTCTTTTTAGTAATGTTATTTTCAGGCCAGAGAACAAATCACAGCATGGGAAAAAATATGGAATTGCCCAAGTTACATGCATTGTTCTGAATGAGTTGGTCAGATGAGTATATTTGCCACTATTTCTTTTATTTTCTTGCTACTATTTTCTAGTTTTCATTGCCAAAAAAATAAGAGGCTTCATACTTTCCATTTTGTATCCCAAGAAAGGGATAAAGCACATGGAATTAACTGGCTAAAATGTGGAAGCAACAAAAGCAACAACAATGAATTCAATAGTCGGAACTATTCTTGGAATAATATTCTGATATCCAATATTTGAACATTTCTATGACACTAGTCATATTCACATAGTTTCTCGCTCATTAAGTTTTATGTCCATTCAGGATATAAATGATCATGGCTCTCCAAAGTTTCCTTTTCTTAGAACCATCAAATGTAGTAGAAATCGCCATCATTTACAATGATAGAAATTCCTGTTACCCATGACTAATCAGTTAATAACTAAACTTTGGTTTTGTTCTTTGCAGTGGATTCCTGTTGTATCTTCCATAAATTCAGTTTTGTTCTTCACCTAGACTGGCTGTCAAATGTGATAAAAACCATTATTGCAGCACATAAAATTAAATCTCTTTCCCATAAATAATAATGAGGCATTTATAAAAAAAAATATGCAATAAAATAGGTTTCTTATAAGTAAATAAATATTTCATTTTTGCAAAATTATCAAATATTTTACAAAAGCAACAATGATGACAATAAAAGAAAAAAGAATAATACAAAAGTCATCATTCGCTGTGTCTGACTTACCCGTGCTGTGTTGATAGAAGACAATGCTAGGAAACAAAGGTGCTGAATTATGTGGTTGATTGATTCTGCAACCAACATGGTTCTGCGATGGAATGTGAATTCAATTGCCTAGCAAATAGAAAGAAATAACTTTAAAAATATTTTCATACTCAATGAATAAAGTTTCCAGGTTCCCTTAGCAGCACATCAAGCAAAAGAAACAGTTTTGTAAACATGAACCTAAATTCACATTCAACAAATATTCATCAGAAGAGCAATAAGGTACCTGAAAGCACTTCCCAGGTACAATGAATTAACATATATACTTTATTATCAGTCTGTATTTCTGTTGTAGTATACCTATGGACGATAATGGGTATGTCCCCATTCACATAAATACAGTAGTAAATACTGCATGTTAGTCTGCTGTTGGAGATTCATTGTGGAATTCATTTGACTCATTTCTACCAGATGACTACTACTACTACTACTACACGCCACTGGTGAATCTTATGTGTTGTTCATATCCTAAGTATTATTGTTCAATACCAACCTTTGTTTAATTATTCTATTCAGTAACCTTCCTTAGGTAACAACAATTTCTGAGATGAGGTAATGTAATTATTTATATTATTTGGAATTTTGACCTCATCTTTGTTGCCATATTCATGATGTTTTGGCCATTGTATGCCCTGGCCTTCTTCAGGTGACTGGAATTTTGAACTGTAATATGAACCCTGATAAAAAATGGTTAATGAGAGATTAAGTTTATAAGTCCCAAAAAATTCATACACTGATGTCCTCAAAGATACATGGCCCAGTAGATAAAAGCATGGTTGAATACAGTGACTTGACCCAAAGAGTTGTGAGTTCAGTACCTGGCTACAGCAAAGGTGAACTTGAAGAGTTGAGGCATGGCATGTGAAACTAGAACAATCTACCCCAATAGATGAAATATAGGGTTGGTTCAGTTTGAAATTCCCATCTCAAGAAGGCCAGAGTATACAATGGCCGAAACATTGTGAATATGGCAATGAAGATGAAGATAATGGCCTGAACAATGTAAATAGTGTAAATATACTTTATTACAAATAATCAGTGACTTTTATATTTGCTTTGGTTGTTTTTGGCATATCAACTTTTATTTAATGCTGATATTTAAATATTTTGTATGCACTTTTATTTTTTTTTTTTTTGGAGATATAATAGTTTAGTGATACAGGTCTTACTAATTAACCCATAGCTGGGGGGAGATGAGGTGGATTCATTTCTCAAGCGTATCTGCGCATAAGTGAATATAACAAACCTAGCTGGAATTGAAACTCAGCTCTCCGATTAACAATTCTGAGCCATTATCCATTACAGCATCAGCACATCCAAGCTGGCAAGACCTGGTATTCCCAAGTGATCACTCATCAAGGTACTGATCAGGCTCAACATTACTTCACTGATCATATGGGTACTCATGTTTCAACATGATGTGGCCATAAGCCTTCATTAATAGTCATATATTCATCATTATATAACTGGTATGAATATTAACACTTTCTTATTCTTTCTAACAGCAGTTAAAAACATACTTTTTAGGAACACAAATAAGTTCATTGATAGGAGTAGAAAGGTTCTCCTATAATTTGGTTCACACTCCTCCCTGGTTTTTGAATAAGAGTAGAGGTTTATCTCTTTTCCTTTTTAGGATTGGGTTTCTGGTTCCTCCTAAAGTTTACTTCAACTCTGACATATCTGCCTAAACTCTGAAATTTTATTCACTATTTTTTTTCTTCAATAAGAGTAGAGAAGTTCACCTATTGTCCAGTTCACACTCCTCCCTGGTCCTCTGATTCCTGTTTAAGATTGGGTTTCTAGTTCCTTCTAAAATATTCTCATTTTCTTTTACTCTCAGTAGTCCCTTGTGTCTTAGTAGCATTATCACCTTGCTTGGGGTGAATTCATAAAAAAATAAAACTGATATTAAATTTACTACTCCTAATTCAGTTTCAAGATTAGTTTAAAGAAAATATGAACTCAGGTTACATCGAAGTCACATCACAGGTGTAAATGTAGAATTCCTCTGTTATGATAAACTGGCTTTGCTACATTCTGAATAAAATTCTTATTTTTGGTACAAAAATTTATTTTATTTACTGCTCTAATTTCAATATTTAGTTTCAATACAACAAAAAGCTTGAAAATCATTTAGAAAATAAACAGCAAATGATATCTGTTTTATTATGCCATTTTGACATATGGTTAAATGTATTTTTGGCAAGGAATGAACTGTCTTGCAAGACTAGCTCATTAACTGCTATACTACAGTGAGAACTCCAGCACTATATACATACCTTAAGTAATTCTATCAATTTGCAAAGTGCTAAAACTGCTGTTTTTGTCATGGCCTTTTGTGTAGATACATGTAAGTTCATCACAGTTCGTATCAAATGGCTGATGTTAAATGCATACAAGACACCCTGGAAAATGAAAATAGAGACATAACTAATATGAAAGCTAAAAGTAAAAACTAATTGATTATAATATCAACTATTTTTTTAACATACAAGAAATGCTGATCAAGAGGGATAAAATATATTCAAATAAAACAAAGGCCAGAATGGGTGGACCCAAAAAAAACAAAAAAAAACAGTTAAGTAAAAATAAGAAAAACAAATCCCTATTAGTTCAATAAAAATAATAACTAATCAATAAATAAAATTTCCTGAACAAAATTAATTAATCATTAAATGCAAAATTATATGTATCTATTCATATAGGGATACAATCAATCCCCCCTGTTCCATCAGCTGACCTTCCCACCTGTTTTATTTGTTTTAGATCTGAAGAGGTGCTCGAGTGAACTTAGTTGAAATATCTGTCAAGTCAAATGAATCTGGTCACAAGACAAGGTTAGATTAAAAATAACAGTGAAAACAACACAGTTATTCAAGTAGGAATTTAAGTCATAGCATTAACCCATTCCAGTTGGGTGGTGCTGTGATTTTTCCAATTATGACTGATTTGTCAGTTCACGTGTAGTCAACATTAAATGGTTCACTGGATCAGTAGCTGACATAGTACAGACAGGGAACTATGGTGTTGAGCCTGCAACCAAAATTAGTTTTCATAATTTTCTCAATTTGAACTTTCTGCAAAGGAAAATTCTTAAATTAAAAAAAAAATCTAATTGCTTCTTGCAGTGACACCTGCCGACTCTCCTGGCCAAAAGTGGCTGGTTTATATAGAAAATCCATTAGGGTGGCTGAGGCATGGGTCATTAATTAATGATCTGTCAGTCCTAATCAATTACTTATTGCATACTTCCAAATTTGACTGGGTCATTAACCTGTCCAGTTCCAGCATTGTGCCTTTGCAATTTCAATGGTCTAGATCCTTCTCATTACTCCTATTAAAGTGACACACATTCGTTACATCATTTGGCCAATTAAAAGTTATTGTAAAAATTATAATTTTACAGTGTCAGCATTATCTATATTGAATAACACACCTATAATATCTTTACATCAACATTTTCTAGGAAATATTTTTTTAATTCATGAATGAAAATGTTAATTATAAATAATCATGCAGCTATAATGAAACCTTTGTTTGGGTTTGATTGTTTTTTATGAATTATCAACCCATTTCAGGTTATTTAAAGCGAGAAAATATTTTTAAATTGTAAGAATTTTTTTGAAATAATGATTTAGTGATACAAGTCTTACTAATTAACCCATAACTGGGGGAGAAGGGATGATTTCATACCTTTCCCAAAGGGTATTTTTTGTGTGTAAATGAATATAACGAAATGTGCTGTACTTGGAACTTGGCTTTCCAATTAACAATTCTGAGCTGTTATCCATTATACCACCCACACATCCAAGCTTACAGTACCTGGTATTCCCAAGTGGTCATCCACCTATGCTCAATGTTGCTTAACTTTAGTGATCATACACATTTCAACATATGGCCATAGGCCCCCGTTTGTTTTTATTTTGTACATGGCTGAAAGAAAGTTTTTCTATTCTTTTTGTCCTTGCCCATCATTTCATAATCAAGTATTATCTTCTGACTCCCATCAACCAGATCATATTTTTTATAGAAACATTACCCTGAATTTTGTTTTTCCTCAATTCCGATTGTCTTCTCAAAATTTTTGTTTCTCTCTTTTTTGAAACTTTCACTCAAAACAAGGGATTTTATTTTGAATAAACCAGATAAACTTGAGCTATTCCTGGTCTACTTGTAAATTCCAAATTGTAAACTAGATTGGTCTTCCAAGTCTTTCATGTTAAACTTGTAATGTAAGCCCCATTCTGTAGATTTCATTTGCTTAAAAACATACTTAGTAATATTGCCACAGAAACTGCATAAATATAAATAAATTGGGCAATGTTTAACCTTTGTGTCCACAAAAAAACGGTCTATCAAAATGATAGTTATTCCTTGACACCACTATTACTATATACACTTTTGATTCCTTTGGCAATGTTTATTATAAGAATTTGTGAACCAAATACAATGCAATATTTATTATTTACCATTTTATAAATATCAATGAAAACTAGTTTTTTCATTCATAATTTCATAAAAATATCAACAAATTGTAAAATAAGAAAATTTGAATAAACATGATATTATCTATTTCACTTTTTGAAACAATAAACAGACACAGGAGTCAAAAATGTATACAGTAATAGTTGTGTCAACCCTTTGACATATTGTTTTTTGTAGACACAAGTTAAACATTGTCATAAAGTGTTTGTGTTTGTTGCCAAAACCATTTTTTTAAAAGTGAAATTATGAAATAAAAATATAAAATGTTAATACATATTTTACTTATGCAGAAAAAAGAATGGCCAACAAATACAAAATAGCATATTTAGCAAATCTGAATTTGGTTCATATCACTTTTGTACAAATAATCTTAAAAAGGCATGAATTCAGTTTTCCCTATGCCTTATTTCATAACTTATCATCTTGACCAGTTTTTTGTCACTAGCATGCTATAATGGTCAGTAGATGAATGAGTAGATAGGCAGTCCACTTTCCTGTAACAAGCAGTCTGCTACATCCATTGTAAGCCTTGACAGTGGCTACTATAATGAATAGCAAAGGGCAAAGTCTGAATAAAAATAAATACAGTAAAATTCTCTTTTAAGTTATTTAACACAAACTGAAGAGTTAAAGTTAAGATCAATTAAGAATTTATAGAATCTGATTCACAAACATATTGTTGTTGAATCAAACTGAAAACTCACTTGAAGGAATAAGTTGCATCTGTTATTAAGGTCTTGCATGACAGTGTTGCCTCGATTCATGTTGGATTCCATATTGACCATCCAGGCCCCAACCTGATTGTAATAGGCTTGAATGTCTCTAAAATAAATCAGACAAAAACATTTGAATCAATGAGAGGACATTTGGGTGAATTTTAAAATTTAATATCTTAAGAAAGGAATTTTTGAACATAAATAGTATATTTAATAAAAAGAAACTGCATAAATATGCAGATTACAATGTTGTGTTGTCTCTTTACCATCTTTGCAAAACATCTAAATAGACAAACTGTATTTTTCTTTACATGTCAGTATTGATTTTAAAAAAAATGTGTAATGTAAATATTTCAGTCAAAAGTTATCATGTATATTGCGTGATGGATTTAGATTTATTAAAAGGGAACTCAAAGCAATTAATTACATACAGAAAACTTTAATAAAACACTCACAAAAGAAAAAATGTTATATTTTAAAAATGTTTCATTTTTGCTTGTAGAATCGGTACCCTTCTTACCCAAAATCCATATTGAATTGGAAGGATTCATCCTTATCATAAATGATCACTTAATTCAGTACTGATGACAAAAGTGACCCATTATAACCAAAAAAGAATTTATTATTTTACAAGTGCCCAATCTAAGTTATCTTGAGTTAGAGAAGAATTTGAAAACCCTTGATAGTTTTTTTTTTTGACAAGATAATCATAATACAATTGTAAAAAAATTAAATGCTATATAATATAAATAATATAATAAAAATATAATATACTTTATATAAAGTGGTTTAGATTTATCAGCAGTGTACAATAAATTATGAGGGATATCTGAAAAGTAAGCAAAGAACATTTACTAATCCAACATGTTTATTATTATTCTACAGATTGAGTATCCTTTATCTAAAATTCCAAAATTTGGAAGTTTTTCAGGTGCTGACATGACTTGTCATAAATAGAAAATTTTAAAAAGCACTGGGAAGGTTCCTAGGTGATGTGCAGCTGTTGTAAGTGACCCCATCTTCCCTGGGTTGGGGTTTCCCAGCCTAGCTACATTGGCACCAGTATTTTGTAAGCGATCATCACAGCAACACCTTCGTCTGTTGATTATTTACAAAGTGTTACATGCTCAGTAAAGATATTATTCAAAATGTCAAAAAGTCTTGCATTTATACATCTTTTGTAAGTCGTGATCATGTTTTTTTTTGTGCACGTACAGAAAATACAAAACATTATTTATAAGTGAAATCTTAATTTCACCACTTAAAAATCCGTGTGAACATTACATGATTAATGTCATTACTTGTATCTGTATGTACACAAAATTTATTACATTTTATATAAAACCACTTGCAGGGTATATGTTATTTATATAAATTCTATGTTCAGGGTATAAGCTGTGCTATGAAATTTAAAGAGAGATCGTGTTTATGCTTGGGTTCCATACCCAAGTTGCCCCATTTTATAGATGCTCTATACAAATTAAATAACCTGTATTCCAAAATCAGAACATTTTGAAAACTGAAGCACTTCCAGTCCCAAGAATATTGGATAAAGCATTCTCAACCGGTAATAAAACATTGTGTATATATCACCAACACTACTATACTACTTTTCCACATAGTCAATACCAAGATTGGTGCATTTGCCACATAGGTGCACAAATGCTGTCCTCAAAGATATCTCTGGAAGTAATATTTTGTTAGGTTGTGCATGTAAAATAACCACAACGGCAATGGTAGTAGTAATTCTCAATTACTTTCTTCTTATACGAATGCAGTAAAAATGTATCTGGGCTCCCAGCCACTCAGCTGTTTATATAACACTGGACAAGGCAACTTATGTCTGCCTGTGAAAGTCACCCTTATCTAATGAGACTTTCCATTTCTACCTTACAGTGTGTATTGCATTATTGTGCAGCAGAATGACACATGCAAATATCCTCATCTTTTTAGATGAATAGCATCCTTCAGTCTATTCAATGTTTCACATTATCCGTGTGAACAAGTAATATAAAATCCACAGGAAGCATACATTTTTCATCCCAGAAAACAGTTACCATCAATTTCTTTGCTGAACTTTGAATTTTTGAGGATTTGGTGATGATGGCTACTTTCAAGTCATGAAATCAACCATTGTTTCTGTGGTAGCATGATATATCCAGGCCTCATTACCCATGATCACATGCTCCAGAAAGTCCCCATCAACTCCACTGCTACTACCCCAAAAGCTGAAAAGAAATGCCCATGAACTGGAACTTGTGTCCTTCAGTCAGTTGCTTTGGGGCCTGAAATTTTATTTTTGTCCTTGGCACGAAAAAAAAAAAAAAAAAGAATCTTATTACACTTTGCAGTTCTGTTTGTTCACCGTTTTATGATGGCAGCCATCTTTGTTGTGATGTCACATACACATGCACTCAATATTTACGTTGTTCTGGCTGTTACAATAAATACTGCATACCCCACTGTTATTCTGTGCTTAGTTTTCACAATGTTTTCATCCCAGTCAATTTATGTCTATTTGTAGCTTATTTTTTGGACATCCCTCATAATAAAAGAATGTTAAATTCTCTTTTCTATTTCAAATTACCTGGTTAATTATATATTTAAAATCTCATGCTAAAAAGAAAGTCAAATAATAAAAGAAATTTAATGTAAAACTAGATAGAAAAGGAGGAAGAAATTTAGTCAAACTTAGTCATGCCTGCCAAAAGGATGGTTTTTCCCTTGACACTGCTATTATTTTAACTACCATCACCCCTCAACAATATTTACTATTTTAAAATGCAAGGATTAGAATTGTAATAAGACCTAAAACTATGATGAAAGTAAATTTATATAAATTTTTTTTTGCTCTGGAGAATTTACAAAAAAAAATATTAAACACTATTTATTAAATTGTTTATTTTCAAGAATAATTTTATATTTACAGCATTCTAAAAACCAATACAGCTGTATTAAAAAAAAGCTAATGCATTATTTATCATTTACCAATTTATAAAGAAATAAATATGCAAATGATTTTTTATTCATATATTTATAAATATTTATTAAATTATAAAATACATGAACCAACTATAAAAAAATCCTTATTATTTACCATTTTATAAAGTTTGAAACGATTGGCAATTAACTGTTGTTTTGTAAACCATTCTAATAAATAAATAGTATTTATAATATTTTTTTTTTTTCGAGAACAAAGAAAATGAATAAATTCATTTTCATTTGTTTAGGATTTATCAAAATTCTAATCATCACTTTTTAAAACAATACATATTCCTGAGGATTGAAGGTTGTTAAAATAATAGAAGTGTCAAGGGAAGAACTGTCCAGTTGGTACTTCATTTTTTGGTATGTATGAAGATCCAAGATTACTGAAATTTATATTCATAAAATAAAATGCAGTATTTGTTCTAATTCTCACAAAATTTCCTTTTTTGTGATTTACAATTTATAGTTATATTCCTTTTATTACATTGCAATCTAAAGTTAAAATATCATTCACAGGAATTTTTAGATATAATAGCTACAAAAATGCTTTTTAAATCTTTGATAAAGAAAGATACAGAAAAAGTGAAAGAAATTAAAACTGATGTTGGATTCATTCTTGTATGATACACTTTTCAGTGCAAAGTTTCCACTTTTATGATCACTCTCCACTGACTTTACAACTACTCCCAAACACGCCTGCTTTGCTTTAATCAGTTTCTGTCCAAACAAATATTTCTAAAGATATGGTAGGGGAAATTTGATCATTAAGCAGGAAAATTTGCAATTTTTAACCTTAAATTTGTTTGAGCAAATTTCAACCTTTAATCTGTATATTTATTGTGCAATCAAGCAAAATGGGATTGTCGGTAGTCAGTAATTAATACAAGTATTATTGAAATGCTATTATACTGCTTGAACAAAAAGAAAAGAAAAAATATACAAGAAACAAACATTACATTTGTGAAGGCAACCTGAAAAAAAAAAATTCGCCAAATATAAAGACTGAACTATAGTCTGGATATTATAGAAAATTGTGTATTATTATTATGCATGGGGAAAAATAAAACAATGGCATGCAGAAGTGAAAGTATTTGCTAATAAGATGGAAGTAACATCTGAAGGAGTTAGTTTTTTTAACAATACTATAATATTTTTCAGACACTATTGAATTAATTATGGGCAATATAATCGAGGCATTTACAAGGCAATCAATACACTGCTTTAAATAATTTACACTACCATATATATTTGCAGATAGGTCACCCCCACCGAATAGGTCGCACTCCTATTTTATGACTAATTGATGATTTACTGTTGACATGCAAAAATATAGCACTATAACCTGGGGAGTTACACAGCCCTTTTTTAAATGTAAGAATTATCAGATATCTATCTTTATTTCAAAATTTATAATTATTAATACACTATTGCAGGTAAAATACATTTTGTCAATCATCATGTAAACAAAAGGAACTAACTGTTGTACCGGTATTTTTATATTTACTGCATATTATTTTTATATCACATCAACTCAAGCAAAACAAAAAAAATAAAAAATGACTACAGAAGAAAATGTTACGGTACATTTAGAAAAAACTCCAACCTGCCTATCTGCTGATCGATTTTCATGTTCTTCTGCATAATTTGGTACTTTTAATTTAAAACCTGCTTCATAATTCTTTATTTTACTCATGATTAGGGTTTGCAACAATTAAAATTATAAACTATAAATTTGGCTACCAACTATATCACTACACAATACAAAAATATTGCAAACGTTTTGGGTACTAGATTCATGCACTTTGTTATTTGTAAATAATACTTAAGAACACCTTTTAATGTTATATAAAACAACCATTAAAGAAAATGATCTCATAAAGAATATATTTCATTTCTTTAAGTCATATTTTCCAATGTATTTTTGACAAAATATATATATATTTTGCAGAATGAATCATGGGACTATTTTTTCTTTGTCAATAAACATCTACACATGGTTCCTTAACTTATGTATGCATGTTCAAGGTTTCTATATCAATCTAGTGTGTTGGCCCTGACTGAATGGTGACTGATGGATCAATGAATATTTTATAATTTTATTTATTTATTGTGATGAAT